ACACCAGTTCAGATAATGATAATTGCGGAACCTGCGGCAACGCTGTATGCATAAGCTTTTTTTTTAATATTTTTTATGTACCTGCTTTCTTTGATAATTTTAATGATTTTTCTTCGTTAACCTAACAGTGCACTAATGGAGATACTTGTCAAAGTGGAACTTGCACCCCATCAACTTGCTCCAATGGTAAAACACTTTGTGGCAACAAATGCGTAGACACCAGTTCAGATAATGATAATTGCGGAACCTGCGGCAACGCTGTATGCATAAGCTTTTTTTTTAATATTTTTTATATACTTTCTTTGATAATTTTAATGATTTTTCTTGATTAACCCTACAGTGCTCTAATGGTTATACTTGTCAAAGCGGAACTTGCACCTTAACTTGCACCAATGGTGGAACACTTTGTGGCAACAATTGCATAGACACAAGTTCAGATGATGCTAATTGCGGAGCCTGCGGCAACGCTGTATGTATAAGCTTTTTTCAATTTTTTTTTATGGATTTCTTTCTTTCTTTTTTAAAAATTAATGATTTTTCTTAATTAAATTAACAGTGTAATAATGGAAAAACTTGTCAGAGTGGAGAATGCAAGTAAATGAAGATTAATTAAGCTTACAATTAGGAGTTTTTTCGAATATTATGTGAACTTTCATTTTATTTTATTTGAAATATCGTTAACATAGCAAACAAATAGTCTTGATCAATTTATTACATTAAAAAAATAACGTACTTAAGCGCTTGAATTTCGCGAATTTATAGAAATAGTTTATTAAAGTAATTCGAGCATTTTAGAGAATAGTTCATCAAATTTTTAAATTAAGAAAGTATCGTTTTAACTCGCCCAAATCTATCGCATCTTACCATATACACATTATTTTGCGTGACTTTAGTGGTGACATTGAAATTACGAACTCGCGGAGCGCTCACTAACCTTCCGATTTTTTTTCGTTACGAATAAACTTACTTTTATTTTACCTTATCATTAAAATAAAAACGCATATACAGATTTAAGACACGCATTCAAAAACTTACATACGAACGGATGTCACCTATGACGAAGACATAACATTAGTGTCAAACGACCACAGGTAAAGAAGGAAGCACTATAGAAGAAACTCTGAATGTGATTTTAAACCAGATTACTGACGCATTAAATAAAGTCATGACGGGAGCTAACGCCCACGCCCAAAATAAAGTCGTGCCATTATCGTTCATTACGGACTTCTATACGCTAGAGGAAGCTGTTGACGGGGATAAATAAGTCGAATTTGATAATTACAAAGAACGCAGCCCTAAAAAAATGATCCGTTGACGTAATACAAGAACCGAATGTGAGATATAATGTATAGGTACTGACAGAAACTATATAAAACTTTACTATTTATATGAGGAACTGATATAGAAAGAAGGTTTTACTACTCCCGAGATTGTTTATCCGAAAGAAATCCGTCACGTGAAAATTTATTCAGGAGGATTGTGATATACGTAAGTATATGCTATTTATAGATTTCTGCCACAAGATAGGAATAAAAAAAATATCGGTTAACCACATTACGAATCTACATGGGAAGAATGCCTAAGGAACAAAAATTATATCAGTAGTGAGGAAGCATCGCGACAAATTGAAATAAAAAGAGATAGCCGTCAAGAGAACAGGAAGAAGAGGAGTCACCCTTGACAAAAATACTAAAAAGAAACAGGGACCTTCTGTAATCAAATTCTTACCTACATATTGTGTGTTATCTCTTTTCAACGAAATCAAGTGTTACCATCGGGAAACTGCTTAAACATTCATAATAAAGACTGAACCTGGCTTAAACCCTCCAAAAGCTACTAATTGAACTAGAGATTAACTTTGCAGATAGATTAAAAAGTAATAACGGCCGCATAATGTTATGTTTGTATTTGTGGTACACCAGCTATAGCAGTGATTGGTACCGGGCCAACCGCTAGCTTCATTATCAAGTGCCTAATGGATAGACTTGGTCTAAAAAATGATGGAAAAGTAAACAACTTCTGCAATAAGGGTTACGGAAGCAAAGTAAATAACGTTAAATATGTCAAAACCTTGAAAATTGCCGTTTAATACTTGATCATAACTAAATCACTGAAAATGAGATTCTTGCAATAAGATTCTGCTGCTCGGCAATAACTGGTTTTAAAGTGTAAAGGCACGCATTCATTTCAATGAACAATAAACGATATACGCAGTCCATATGTCTATCTCTATTAAAGACTCAACAAAAACAATTGAGAGAACAATAAAGATATGAATTAGAAAAGAGACAAATTATTAAATTAGTTGAGCTATAAAAGCAACAAATAGATGAAGCAGAGGGATATTATTCAAAGAAGCTCTAAATGACTCAGAATTCTATGCTGGCCATGGATCGATATGGTTATTTATCTTATATTGAAAATTACCTACCCAAGCTGATAATCCTGATGAAAAAAATTTAGAAATAATTCAAAATTTAAATATTAGAAAGACTGAATACTTTCGCGCAATGAATTGAAGATTTAAGCTGCGCTTATATTATCGCACATAAAATAAACACTGAAGATGCAACCCAAATTAAGCAAAATTCTTACAGAGCTACCCTAAACACACGGGAGTTTCTAAAGAAAGAATTGACTCAGCAAGAACAATTAAATTCAATCTCAAATTCCATAGACAATGGTCATGGTACTAAAAAGGAGGTAAACTGCGATATGCGTTGATTATCGAAAATTAAATATGGCGAAAAAGAAAGACATGATCTGTTAGAAATATTTACAAAGGCGAACTACCTTCGATCTGATGAATGGAAAATAACAGGTAGCTGTACTTTAAATGATCGAAATAAAGAAAAAACAGCTTATATTACAACAATAGGGACCTGAGTTTAACATGATACCGTTTGCTTAACCTACACATTTCAACCGTTGGTGAATTTCTATTTGAATTCGACAAAAAATTTTTTTTCATATACTTAAACGATATTAAATTTATTCGGAATCATTTGCAGAACATCTTGAGCTCTTAATCCTTATGGTTACTAAGAGAGGAATGCCATCTGCAAATCAAAATTCAACATCAAGCGAAAACAAAGTTCTTGTGACGCAAAAAATTGAAACAATTTTTTGAGTCAATATATATAGTATCCAAGAATATTGCTTATAAAAATTGCTATTTATGCATATTAATTGTATCTTACTTTAGTACAAGTAATTCAAATCTATAGACACCTACTCAGAATAAACTACTATTCAGCGATATCAGTAGGAATGTCTCTAATATATATTATAATTCAATTCAAAAGGATACAATAATATTTTTTTGAGTGCCTGTTTTTAAGTCATTTTATTATAAAGAGTAAATTAAAAAATATATAGTAATAAGAAATATAATTAAAATATCAAATTTAAATTTACATATCTAATAAACTATATAACAATTATTAAGAGTGGATTCTTTATATCACAAAAAGTTATTTCTGAAGAATTAATTAAAATTAATTGCGTTGTACGATATATTCAACTTTATTAGAAATTGTAGTTTGTATTTAGAAATATTAATTTATATTCTTAAGATCTTGAATTAGGTTAATATTACTTATTATATAAATAGCCAATAAAATATCAATTAAACAAGTTTCATGTTTATAATTTTAAATTATATATATATATATATATATTTTTAAAGCTGGCTCAGCCTTATTTAATAGTTTGATAAAGTAATATGCAACTGTAAATTGTAGGGATTACAAAGAATATCATACTTGTTACTAACCTTATTAGGACTAGTTAGATATTCTAAAGAATTCACCAGATGGCTTGTTACCACTCCAGACTAAGGGAAGACTAACTTGCCAAGGCAAAACTAGTGCTGGGTTCAAAAGAAAAGATAGATGCAATGTTAGTGTTTTCAAAGATAAATTGTTTTATATATTGATTGAATAAATCTATATAGCTGTCCTTGATAAATTATTCCATTATCCATCTGGCAGGGCTTGGAAATGCTTTTTCATATTTATGATGTCTTTCTTTTTTCCTTGAGATGCCATGTTCCTCTTTCCACCTTTGAAATATTTCATTCTGGCTTCCAAGTTAAGTATAGAAATTTTTTCCATTCTGCAGATATTTTGGCTATGCAGTCTTTTGCTTTGGTAGTATTATGAATTGTTTGATAAATTGTTTGATAGTGGATTTGAAAAAGCTCCCTTTGATAAATAACTTGAGCTATTGTATAATGTTTAAAGTTATATTGTTATTTATTGCTGTTAGTGCTTAAATCTTCTTTTCTTTGAGTATGTACTTGAGTATTGCTTCTTGGATAGTTGTTATAATTTGATATTTGATATCTATTTTGTTGTATTGGCACAAGAAGAAATAGTAGTTGTCTTCCACTTAATTGCAATTGCAATACTTGTTGTCTTTGTATAATGAGTGCTTCCTACTGTAAAATTTGGATTTGGTAGGAAGTTCATTATTTCAGAGGTTTAATGAGAACTTTCATATTTATTAATCTTTGAATAGGATATTCAAATTGTAATCTGAGATGGATATAGATGGTCATATGTTTTTTATCAATGAATATTTTTGTATTGTACAGTAAAATCTGTGAGTGTTCTATTAAGTAGATGCCATTGTGCAATGTATTTTGTCTGAGTGATCTTTTTGTGAATATTTTTTGTTGGTATGTCAATCTGAATATTGTCCCATTGTATTGTTATATATGTTTGTGAGCTATATCTTTTATTGATTATATTCTTATGTCTGCTCAAGTGTAAGTAGTATACATTATGAATCTCTTTTACTTATATATTTTTTATAATAAACTATTAGCTATATATATATATATATTTATTTAACTACTGGCTCATCCTTACTTTATTTGGATAAAGTCGATTATACATGTGTTTATGTTAGTATTATCTATATAATCAAGTAAAGTTTGATAGAAAAGGAAAAGTTCACTTCACAGCTTATCACTACCCTATTTAAAAGAATTAACTGGCCAAGGCTGGGCTAGTACTATACAAAATTTTAAAGATGTCTAATGGATGCATAATGTTTTTTATGTATTTACCTATATAGTTATTGACCAGGTCAACAAATTTATCTTTTATGTATCTTTCTATTTCATTGAGCCAGTCACTTTTAATTGGGATGTTGTATCTGGTAGCTTTCTCGATCTTCCTTATGATGTCCTATATCTCCTTTTACTTGTGAATGTTATCACATCTTGTTTTCCAGATGTTAAGGAAATATTTGTTGATGTCTTGTTAGATTTCTTTTATGCATTGTTTTTTAGAAGAGTGGTCTGATATACATTTGATAACTGTATTGACTGTTTCTTTTAGAATGGCTCCTTTAATCAGTCATTTTAAGTATTCTAGTAAATATAGTGAATTATTTTTTTGATATTCTTGTAAATGTCTTTCTATATCTGGAGTTTTGCTGAGTTGCTGTATCTTTTGGACTATAATATTTTGAATCTGCTTTTCTGTTTTTTTCTGTTGATCTTTATAAAGGAAGAGATAAGTGTTTGTTTCTCTATTATTGCATTTGATACATTTGTCATCTTTGCATAAGGTGGGTAGGCAGCTGAAAAGTTTAGTTTTGGTGGGTAGCTCTTCATTCCAAAGGCTAAGGTTGAACTTCTTCTGTTATTGATCTTTCTAGTCTATTGTGGAGTTGCTTATTCAGATTGGTCGGAGGTTTTCTATTGTTGTGGGTCAGTAAATATGTCTGATTATCTTGTTGCTGAATTCATTTCTTATTTTATTTAGGAGACTTCATTTTACTAGATGTGTAGCTCTAGTTAGCTCTTTTACCATAATTTAATAGGGATCTCAATTTCTATATAGTCTTATTGGAGGATTAGTATGTATTACTGATTTTGGATAGAATTGATATCTATTGTTTTGTGTTCAAGAATTATTTCCTTGTTAGTGTTAACAATAGCTAGCTGATCTACTTGATCATTTATTTGTGGCTAGAATATACTTTGACTTTTGTGAACTCTAGTTTAAGATGATTTTGTTCAACTATATCAAGGATATTTTGTAATATTCCTAGGTTTTTTTGTTTTCTAAGGTTGTGTATATAGTTCATTTTCATTATTTTTATATACTATTAATGGCTGCCTGGCTGTCTGTATGTATAGTTGTCCTACTAAAGGTGGGTAATAGACTTACTGCTGTTATAATAGCTGCTAGTTCAACTCTGGTTAAGGAGGTGAAGTTTTTTATTTGTCCTTGGAATTGTAATTTATGA